TGTGCCTAATTTAATCTTATTCTTCACAAATAGTTCAGATATGCAAGATATATGTGACTTCAAGCTAAAAAGTTTCAGAGAATGAAGGCAGAAGATGTGCAGAATTATTTACACAAAATAAACACTACCAACCCTGGCACAGAAATTATAAGGGTCAGGAGAGTTTAAAATCTGCAGTGGGATTTTTGAGATCTCCTTCCATGACAGCAGTGGTAGGCAAATATGAAAAGAGGCTTTAAGTAGACCCTTTTTTGATACCCAAAGGTAAGAACTTAACAGCCACACCCAGACACCAGTAGGTTTCAGCTAGAGGGTTCAATACCTAGTATGCATAAAAAATCCAACTGTGCCATTAATTCACTGAAAATTCCTACTCAGTAGAAAGTAATATCAGACACAATGCTGTGCCGCTTTCACACATCGACTTGATTAAAGTTTTGTCAACTTGCAGGGCTGTTTTTTTTTTTTTTTTTTTTGTGATTTTGCTGTTCAGCTAATCTGTTTAGCTGTGAACTAAGCCAAGTTTTGAAACACGAGGCATTGTTTATAAGCATGCCTAATAACAAGACTGTCAATACTTGTATTGTCATAATGGATCAAGTACCATCTCCACAAGCACCATTAGAGCCAAGCCTCACTGTGCTCAAAGACAGCCCACAGAGGAATAGAAAAATCATCTGGCTGGCTGATCCTGCAAGCACCTACAGAGCAGGTTTGTAAGCAGAGTATGACAGGCTCCAGGGTAAGCTCTCTGCTCAGCTGCATCCAGCTACAAGTGAAATTACCTCCAAACACATCTTGGGAGGTTTGGTGGAGGCAGAGCAACTCCTTCACCACTTCAGGTAGCTTCTCCTTATGAAGGCTGAAGGATCAGGAAAAGATGTGACAAATTTAAACAAATGTATACCCATTTGTTATATAGGTAAATTATCTTCCCTATTAAGTTTAAGAAGCGGTGGATCTGGATTCTTCATCGCATTAAGTATTTGAATATATTTAACCTTCTGAAGATTGTACTCTAGCTTAATTAGAAATGATGAGCCTCACACAGGAATTGCTAGGTGAAGTTTCTTTGGCATATATAAAGCAGGAAGTCTGAGTAGCTGATATTAGTAGTCCCTCCTGGCCTTAAATTCAGTGGTATCTCTAACCTCACATAATGAGCACTCATGGAGCACATTCTGTTACTAGGTTTGAGATTTCAGTCCCAGGTGTATTCAACAAGCCTTCTTCAATGCCCTTTAGTGGACAAATCTGGTACCATCAGGCTAATGAAAGGGTTATCTCCCCAGCTGGTATTTTGCAATATTGTGGCACAGGGTCCCACTCTAGGATAGCTGGGACAACTCCTAATTCCAAGTGTGAGTCCCCATCAACCCTCATCTTCAGGGTTTACTCCCAGATTAACTATATACACCACTTGTTTGTTTCTCTCAATCCCTTTAAGCAGCTTATATCATTGGGAATTGCTATAAACGTGTCCTAGTGCTGAACCAAGCCAACCAAGAGATTGTCTTAACCAGTAATTCACATCCCAGCAGGGCACCAAAGCAGCATTTGCTCAAACAAAAGCAGGACGGGCTGAAGGAGTCCCCTATCTGCAGGTTATTTAAGCCAGCCATGCCTCACAGTGCTCTTGTTCAGAAACCTCTCCTACAATTTATTCAGAGGGCATAGGCCTCAAAAATGGGGATTTTCCCCCCCAACCCCTCAATTCTTCCAAAGGCTCACTTGAAGTACAATAATCCCTTCTTCTTCCCTCCTCACATCCTGATCAGCAGTTTACAAGTCCCACTACCTCTGCGTTTTGATGCTATTGCTGCTTCTGGTATATCAGTACTTTTCTTCAGAAACTAAAAAGCCTTTGTTGTGGTGCTGATTTGGATCACTTGCACTCCCAGCAGAACTGCAGTGAAGCAGTGCACAGCGTGCTTATTTGCCCTGGCTCTACACTCAAGTACACTGCCCTTGAGCGTTTAGGAAGAGCCTACGGACAGAATTATGAACTAAGTATTGACATGTTTGTTACAAGTGTTATACTGTGCTCATGCAGCTTGCTTCCTTCATCTCCATGAACAGCAGCTTTGAAAACTGATTTTAGAGCTGAAACCAAAGCTGTTTTAAATACTACTCTACTGCAGAACTAAAACCTGACCTCACTATGGCAAGACTCACATGTGTGCTCAAAACAAAAAAAACAAACCCACCAAGAGATCATTGCAAAACTGCTGTTGGTAGCTTTCATACTGGCATAAGCTTTAGTTTAACTGCCTTCAGATGAGATGCTTGTACTTGGTAGATAATGCTACATGGTAGAACATGGTGGTACAGAGGAGCTGGCGTTCTTACTGGTACCTTCTTCCTCCTTCCTCAAAGAGTTAATGAAAAATATTTCCATTGCATGTGGGAGGCGAGGGTTTGCTCTCTAGCATGAGGAGGCTCAAAAGATGAAAGCAATTATCTGTGAAGATACTAATTTATCCTGATAGCAATTTTAATAACAGCACGGTTTTTCTCTTAATGTCACTTCTTCTACATTACTTTCTTTTCATTGCACAAAAAGGTTAATTGTTAAAATTACACTTAGGAATAGAAAATAAGGTTAAAGATGATATCTAGCTTCTGATACTGTTTAACCACCAATACAAGCTGGTACAGTTTCATTAAGCAAGAAAGAAGAGAATCTGGGGAGCAATGCAGAGAAAAGACTGAATATGAAAAAAATCACAGTAAATAGGTCAAATCATGCACAATTAACATTAAAAAGGATAGCATCACAATAAACCAAATGCAATGCTGATTTCTACACAATTAAAGGTAGAAATGGCATCAAACTGCTATTTCCTGTTTCTTTCAGTGCAATCCTGACATCAATAATCTTGACTTCTCTTGGTTTTGTTCAAGCCCACAAAGAAAATCTGTGAGGAAAACAAGAGGTATTAAAAAAAATAAAAATCAAATAGATTAGTTATAACAGGCTTGATTCTCTTCCTTTTGGCACTGGAGAAGAACAGGAGTTACTTATTGAGTTCTCCTAATGCCAAGTGGTTTAAAGAAGGGAAAGACAGTCCTTTCTGATTCACCCCATGAAAGAAATCAAGGTTTTATTCGACAGAACTTTTTTTTATTTTTATTATTATTTCTCAGTTCCCAACTTGCCTATTATCTGCCTCCATTTTCTTCCTCATTACTTCATCGCTTCCATCCTGAGCTGCCTTCACTAACCGTTTCTTCGTAGCAGTTTTCCTTCAGTTATGACTCCTTTTATTCCAACACTCAGGGCCTAATTCTCAGTCCCATTTTACATGGCTGTAGGCTCCAAATTAACACAGATTGTCCCCCTCGCCATCCAGATGGGCCGTACGCTCCTGCTCTCCCACCCGAGCTCTGCAGATGTTTCATAAATGCTAACCCATGTTTTCCTCCTCCTGTCAGGATCTTTCAACTACTCTGTCCTTACCCTGTATTTATCACCTTTATGTTTCATGAAGCTCTCAAAAAGAAAAAAGCCACCCACAGCACTGTATGAATTTCCTTTTTCTTCCTCTTCTGCCTCCCACAGCCTCCTTTCACTTTAATCATTAATATAGTTTCAAGCTACTTATCTCGATGACAAGCTTTAAGAAATTCATGCATGGTCAAAAACACAGGGAAAAATATCCCTGTTTCTATACATACTTGTTGTCATTATTCATTCAGACTCCCCAAATTCTTTCATCAAAACAAGCTGCTTCCTTTATCATCTGCCAACCCTAAGAAACTAAGCCCCCTGGGAGCTCATCTATCCTGTGAACTGCTGTCTTGGATGCGCCTTTATTCTCTATTTTCAGAAAAAAAATAAAAAGAAAAAAGTTGCTGGAGCTTTATCAGTGAAAAATCATGAACCCTTGCAAGTGTTGTCAGACAGCGAGGGGAGAAATAATCAACTTCCTTGTTAAAGTGCTCAAGATACAACATATGGGCAGCTGTGTTTACAAGTTCTCTCCCTGCCTCTCAGCAAGTTTGCATATCACATACATCTTAAGCTACAGTCCTTTTATTTGACTATCTATAAGCACCATGACCCTTGCTTTTGCCTCAAAAGAGAGGCTTCATTAGAAGCTATGCTTACAGAAAATGGACAGAACCAGAAAACACACAAACACTAAAAACCTGCATTTAGAACAGCCCTCTTTGCAAGCAGAAATTTAATCTGAATTTCAAGGGTGGCAGAGATAATTAGCTTAAGAAAACACATGCTTTCATTATTAAGTTTTGCTACAGGACCTGTCAGCAGCATCACCTGAGTGATTTATATGCAGACAGGAATAGAAACAAGTCATAGGGATTCAAACTTCGGTAGATATGAATTTCATTCATTTACTGTCTAGTGATGATCTTCCTGTGAAGATCCCATCACGCCTTACCTCCCAGGGTCACTACACAGCTCCGCCTTCAGAGTCCCACAAAACACAACCCCTCCAACAAGCTTCCCCTTCCCCAGGGCCCCAGCTGGTGCTAGCAAGCAGAGATCACCAGGGAAGTTTGTCCTATACAGACCCTACACTGCAAGTTTACAACTCTACAATGTAAGTTTACTTCTAATAATTGACCCTTCATGGAGCAGGACAAAGTCATAGAAGCAAGAAAGGAAGCAGACTGGGAACTGCTGCTACAGAAATAACTTTGCAAGACAAGCAGGAAGTCCTCAGATAACCATACAGGTGCTTAATGGTAATCTTAATCTGCATTACCCTATTCTCAGTTTATTTGCCAGACAGTCAGGTTGGATCTAGGCAAGACCCCAGGGAACATCATTAGAACAGAAAACCTTTCTAGTTCACCATAAAAATAACAAACCCACAACAGACAAGAAAGCCCACTCTCAGAATTTAATAGATCACTTTCATGTTTTCTTCAGCATAATCCTGCTAATATTGGAAGCTACAAAAGGACTAATTCATGAAACAGCAGGGCTGAACTCAAAAACAGGAATTCATAAAATAATTGTGTAAAAATACCTTTAGAACAGAACAGAGGCATCTTGCACAGCAAAAACACAGTAGAGCAGGCAGGACACTCGGGTTCTCACTAGTTCTAGGCTCCCCTCAGTTCCTAGAGGAAATGGGTACAAGCTCAAAGCACTTGCTGCTTGGGTACAATTTGTAAAGTCCTACAGCTGAGGGTCGTGGGGAAGGTTTTGGTGTCTGACAGAGCTGAAAGCAATTTACTGCTCTGATTACATGAGAAGGCAGGTCTGACTTGCAGCCTGCAACCAGGGAACTGGCAAATAAATTAGGTAATTTGCTCACATTTATTGGGAGGGGCAGGTGAGGGGCTCCACAGCACAACAGTCCTATGACCAGGCAGTCTGTGTGTCATATTTTCCCCTCTCTCAGCTGACAAAAAGAATTTTAGCTATTTCATCCTGAGAAAAGTAGAAAGATGTTACTTCAACATCAGGATGACTGCCTCTGGACTGAGAGAGCTGGAAACTATTAGCTTCATCTACATATTTCTCTCTTTGTCGAGGTTGTAAATTTATCTCTGCCAGTTTCCCAGTTTTGTGGCTTCTGTTCCTGGTTAGCATTGAGGGCAATGGATGCCAACTGTAAGTTTCTACTTGTTGGTATCAGACTATAATCAGTAACTGCCCTCATCAGGTGGTGTCAGCAACACATTTTTGATGCTGCTTTTCCAAAAGGTCCTTGGAAGGAGGCTTGTCAGACACCTGAGAGTGATGATGGCCATGGTGCCACAGCTGAGATGTCTTGAGCATTTACAGCTTCAGGAAATTGTGTTCTTTGCTATCACGGTATCTTCTGATGTGGACCATGTGAAAGCTAACACAAATGCTTTGCCCCTTGTGACATTACAATTCTGTTCAGACTGTCCTAGTGTTCGGCATCAAAGTTCCTCGAGACTCTGATACGTTAGTCCAGAGGAAGCCACTTGTAGTGAGACCAAGAGAATGTTTTCTCAGCAATGACACAGTTAATATCATCTGCAGAGGATAGTGGACAACCAATAAAACAAGTAGGGGTTCATAGCTGCAGCTATTGTCTAACCACCAAACCTGTCTTATTTCTTCTGATACCTACCTCTATCATTATACATCTAATCTCACCATTGTGGATTATTTATAAGGTGAGCTTTCCCACAATTTACCAGGGGACATGGTGGCAGCCGATTTCTAGTTTGAGCACAATCTCTGCTGTAGGAGATGCTGATATTTTTGCCCTCAGTACTAGATTCCCCTGTAATTTTCTTTTTCTCAGAGTAATTTATCTTGATCAGACCTATTGTCCTTCTTCACTCACACCACAGTCACATTTAGACTATTGTATTTCTCAGCTAGTCTAAACAACAGAATGTATACAGCAATTTGGGATACTAATGAAGAACACTAATTCAGCCTCTTAATATACCCCTGAGGTGTCCAAAATATTTGCACATGCATTTTATGAGAAGATAAATTAAGGTTCTGCTTGCAAAGAGAGTAAGAATAGTAGAGACTGGGAAAAAAAGGCTAACAATCCATCCCTTGCTGTACGCTTTGACATTTTTTTATTTGACCAAATCACAGCTTCTTACAAAATATTACTGGATCTTCATATAAAGACACCTTGTGGCATTTCTTTTTTATTATTATTATTTTCTGTTACCTTTTCCTTTTTTTTTTCTTTTTTTTTTCTTTTTTTTTTTCTATAGCACACATTCTTCTCTCCAAGTTTTAAAAGCTTTTTGCAAACAGACCCTAACTCACTGACAGCTGCACTGCTGCATGAGAAACCATTTTATTTTTTTCTGCAGTTTGCTGCTTGTTTAAATGTCTGTCTAAAGGTTTATTTCATAAATTAAATCTCAAATGAGCTGAAAATGCTCAGACCTTCCTAACCCTTGCCAGTTTCTGCTGACTTAGGGAACCCAACAGCTAGACCCCAGGATTCGGTGCCACAGACCTACACCAAAAGCTCTTTATTCTTCATATAAGACCAAGTGCTAAAATAATGCTCAGTCTCAAATTACCAGACCTGCTCTGCAGACAAGGTTTTACTCGGCTTGCAGAAATGAACAGTTCTTCGCTTCCAAAGAACTAATTATAACAGCACCTGGCAGCATCACTGCAGATAGGGGCCTGTCAGCATTTTCTCCAGACACTCTTATGTAGACGTTTATAGCTTGGTCGTATAAATTTGCTTCAGCCTAAAAATTAATATAAAATTTCCAGTGGCAGGCACTTTTGTCAGATACAATTTGAATGGCCAGATTCATTTATTCTAGACAACTTTTAACAAATTCAGTCCATGAAATAGTGGTTTTGATAAAATTTCAGAGGTGGAAAGCAACTGATTATTTTCCTCTTAGTATCTTTAAAGAATAAGTACTGATAATGAATTTGTTTGAAAATAACTGATTTTGTATGTGTAGTTTTGCCAGTATATTCTTCTAAGCCTTTATGAGTTTGAATGGTTAGGAGGAACATCGTGTTCAAAATGACTCGAGTATATTTAACAATACATGTTTATAAATACATATTTATATAAAATAAAGTCACATATAAAAACAACAGCAAGCAGACCTCTCCGCAATCTGACTATACACTTTTTAGCTCACACATGATATGACAAACTACACGGTAGATCTGACATTTGGCTGTAAAATGCCTTGCTCTGCCAAGCAAGTACGTGCAACTTTTTCTAACTGGAGAACTGAATTATGTCAGAATTACACGTCCTCTCTCTTGTATCTACCTATTTATTTATTTTTTAAGAAGAAACCAAATGAGTTCAATTATCAGGACTATTATCTCTTCCAGATTGATACATTATAATCAATTAAGCCTTCAAGCTTGAAGAGAATTTATGTCATCCAACTTTGCTTAATCCAACTGACCTCTCCGTAACAAGAAAAGATTTCTAATGCTACAGAAATGCCTTATAAAAGCAAGATAAGGAAGCACTGTTGATGGGTTGCTCAATGCAGTATACCTTGCTACTTTTGTTTACGCAATTCTTGGTTGCCTTAAAAACACACAGTTAATATTTTATGTAATTCCAGTTCAGTGCACTGATTTAATTGCTTACCAGCGTTTTTATAATGCCCCACTGAAAACAAAAACAAAACAAAACAAAAACACCAAAGCTGAAAACATTAAAAATAAAAGAGGAGAAACAAAACTTTAAAGGTTAAAACATACAAATTTCCATATACATAAGCCATTGTTTTCAAATTTCTCTAGCAGTTGCTATCAGTCTAGCTCTTGCATCCAGCAATATGCAAACTGAAAATAGCTCCCCAGTTCCAAACCATGAAAAAGGAAAGCCAGTATTTGATAAGAAACTGAGCTGTTTTACACTGAAGTATATGCTTTAATTTTTCTCTTTCCTCAGACATACATATTTTTGGCAGAATTAATGGGGTCTCTTATGTAATATTTATGGCATTCAGTCATTTAAAGGAGGGAGACAAAGGGAAGACCTTACTGCACAACAGTATGGTTGTGAATTCTCCTATTGAAAGAGGATCAATGTGTAAAATGGCATACACTTGCGTGCTGTCCCATAACCTCCCAGATTTGTCAGCAGGCACACTTTCACAACACTTAATTGCCTTGGTTTCTGGTATTTGAGGAATTAAAGAGACGTGGGGTAGGGCTCACATGGCTGAAGTGGCTTGGGAGAAGTAAAGGGACAAACTGTGTTATTAAGTGGCCACTGAAGGCTGATCAGGGCCCTCATCCCACACGGGTGCTGAGGCACTCCTTGAGCTTGGCATTGAGCAATGAGAGCTGTGGCTAACATCCAAGAAAACTGAATACGTCTAAATTAACTTGATGATTTTCATTAAAGAACATATGTTAATATGACTGCAGAAGTAGGAAACACAATTTTAAAATAATTCCTGTACAGAAGAGGTTAGCTCTGAAAATGAAAGCAACGGGAGCCTTATTATTTTCAGAGAGCAGTTGAATAAATTAACCACTTATGTTTGAAATGTATAAATGTGAAAATTTATGTTGAGTTCTAGTGCTGCCAGATGATCAACAGGGAACAGTCTGCATCCCAAAACCCATAAATGCAACAAGGTAATGCCTGAGTTATACTGGTTACTACAAGTCTGATGTTCTTTCAGAGTTTAAAAGTCCCTACACAGGGAAAAAGGTGAGCATTTCTGGAGGGGGGAGAGCTTGCTCTCTGGTTTACAATGCCGTGCTCCCAACAGTTAAGAACTTCCCTAACTACAATTACCCTAGCAAGAGGATGAGCTATGCCTGCTGTGCTCTAAGTGTTCCCAGCTGGTGCCACAGTACCAGTGCTGCAGTGACCCAGGCCATTTCCCACACCTCTCCCACAAGCTCTCTTTGCCCAGGACTGATTTAAGAGGGCAGATGTGACCTGTTCAACCAGGGGCAGCTGCAGGGACAGCAACCCCAGAAAGAGGATGGTGAGGGCCATACAGGATGAGCACAAACTGAACGTCTATGACTGTCTAAACTGTCTGCAACTGTATCCAAGATGATATTACTCAGGCTCTAACACCTCCTGCTAATCTGATAACTAACTCAGTATTCCCATTATTATTATTATTATTTTAATTATTAATTCATTAAGACAGAGGTTAGAGCATTGGAAGATGCATTGAAGTCTTCAGCTAAATTGTGACAGAAGAATCACCAGAGTCCTATGTTGCAGCTGTGTACATGATGATTTTTTTTTTATTTTTATTTTTTTGCTTTTGCCCTGAGGCACAGTCAATTATTTCTCACTAGGAAGATTTTTTTGCTAACCCTGTGGATAAGATTTATTGGATTTGGACCAGTGGTTGCTAAGCCGCTGGTCAAGAATCCATCTATCGTGTTGCTACAGCATGCATGCTCTACAGCCTTGCCCTCCTCTTTCTTATCCCCTCTCAGGTCTCTCTCTTTCCCGTTGACAGCACTTATTTCCCAGCTAAACTCTGCCCCCAGCATATAGCTATTTGTTCCTGAGTAATACAATGGACTCATTTGAAAAGATATTTCTTACTGTGTTCTCCTCTCAAATTAACAAAGGCCTGGCACCTGAGTGCCAAGTGCATACTGTTGGTTCTTCCTCACGCAAAGCCATGACCGAATAGCTGGATTCAGGGAAGGCACTCAGACTTTTGCATGGGTGCATGGCTGTAAGGATGGAGGTCTAATTTTACAGAGAATTATCTAGGTTTGAAATCAGTAT